CGGGGACGCGGTGGGCCCGAGGTCCGGGCTCCGGGCTTTGCAGCGGGAGCCGCGCAGTGCGGGGCGTCTGCAGCCCCGTCCCCGCAAAGCCCGGGGCCATCGGGAGACCGCAAGGCACTGGGCACGGGCGTTTCTACAGCAAGAAGGCCCAGGTCGCCCGGTCTAGTCCCCTCGTCTCACAGGTGCCATGCTCACGGACCAGGGGACCCCCCCCCACCCCCGAAACGTCCAAGGGGACTGGAACCCGGGGCGGGGCGGAGACGCCGGACACTGCCCAGGGGCCAGTCCCTTGGGGACCGGTTGATCTTTCCCGTATAACGTGCTTTCCTCCCGAGGAAATGAAAGAAAAGCTGTAAACTGCAGAAAATAAAAATGCCAGTTCTTATCTCGGGATCACTACTGTTAACGTCCTTTTTTCCCTAGAGGCTCCCCCACACACACACCCCCACTTTTAACACAGACCTACCCCCACATGTAGTTTTCTGAATTGGGGCTTGTGCCACAAATGTCTGTGTTTCCTCTTTGTCTCCTTAGCTTTTTGCCTGAGATTTTAAGGTCATTAAATATCCTTTGAAGATATCTCATTAGAGAACTAGACATTTTAAGCATTACTTTTTTTGTTGGGAATTTGGGTGGTTGTCAGTTTAACACCTTTCAGAAATAATTGTTTAATCATTTCATATATGTCTTATGTCTAGATGTAAGATCAGGTGGACATTTTTAAGGTCCATTTTATGGACATTTTTACCCCTTGGTATATATTTTCAAAGTGCTCTCAAACAACAACACAGCAATAAACACTTCCATCAACAATATATGCTTTTTTCTTGCATGCTGACCAGTACTGTGTATTGCAAATTTCATTATGGTTTCTTTGTAATTTCCATAACTGAAAAACAGAACTTCCTTTTACTTGATGTATATACTTACCACTTGACATGTGTATTTTCTCTTGATGTATGCATTCAGTGTTTTCTTGCCGACTTGTTAGATTTTTTAACATATAAAGGATATGAATTCTTTGGCTAGCAAATACATTGTAATCTTTTTCATTTATTGCTTACCTTTTCCTTAGATTTTTGCACCTAAATTTCACTTTCATATATTCCAGTGTACCAGCATTTTACTTCACGGCTTCTTCTATTGCATTATGTGCTCGTTTCAAATTGTTTTGTGTTTGCATTGGGTTTTTTCCCCACTTACTTTTAGTCCACTTGCAATTTATTTTGTTGGCCATCCCAATGGAAAAATCAATTCAGTCTTAAAGCCTATCACTCTTATTGAGCAATTAAGAGCTCTGAGCTCTGTCTTTGGGCTAATTCAATACAACCACAATTCCCTAAGGTAAGCTCTGTTGTTATCCCCATTTTTAAATATCAGGGAACTAAATTTGCTTAAGGTCATTGATCGATTAAGTGGTGGAGCCTGAGTCAGATCTTGAATCTGGGCTCTCAGCCGCAAAGCGATTCTGCCAGTGGGCTTACTATGTGCCAGAGGGTGACCACATGAGTGGACACAGGGCGATTCCCTGTCTGGGCACGAACGGTGATCCCATATGCTCCTCACTCCTTCCCTCCTGCTAGTTAGCAATCAGCAGACCTCATCTCTAGTCCTGACAATGCTTCTACTCACCAGCTCTGGGCTCTCGGACATCCCCTCTCCTTTAATAAGATGGGGATGCCCACTGCGGCCTATCTGGTAAGGCTTTAAGAGAAGAATGCGTCTAGCTGAACAGCCACTGCAGGGCAGAGCACTCCTGCCCGGGCTCTCTGAACATGTCACCATGTAGAAGATGTCACCACAAAACAGAGAGACACAAACGTGACTAGTTCATTGTACTATGGCATTGATGGCTATGTCACTAGGCAATAGAAAAATTTCAGCTGTTATACTCTATGGGACCACCTTCATACATGCAACCCATCCACTGAAAGGAAACATGGTTATCAGGTGCATATGACAGGGCAAAATCTCAGTCCCTTCCCCACTCCGACACCCGTATGTTAGAATCCAGAGCTCTTAAAAGGAGACCAAATCCAGTTAACAAAAAGCACCATCTTCTTACTCCACACACACACACAAAAGACAACCCTGTAAATTTCATGTTGGAGAGAAACTTTAATCTACAAATTGATGCTGTTTTATTGTCATATTTTGAATCATTTTATAGTAACAGTAAAATTTGAAATAATTTTATAGCAACAATATTTGCATAATTTTACAGTAAGAGTAAATTTTTGGATAATTTTATAGTAAAAGAAAAGACACCGAGGAAAATAATTTTCCCTGCACAGTTGAAATTTGCATACTCTGGAAATGTCCCACATCTGCCCCATTCTGGCTCAGAACAATAGATAGCTAATATATTTTACTCATTTTTTTTCTCTATTGCTGTTAAAAGTTACTTCAAATAATAACTGGGAAATTAGGACTATGCATGGCACAAAGGAGAATACAAGAAACTTGGTTTCCTGGCAGACAGTGTTTTATTAACAAGTGCATGCAGCAACAATGGTTTGGGGTCAAGTCTCGCACATGTTCTTTGCAAGAGTACCAACAGCCACCACGGCTCCCACTTCCACGCGTGTGGGAAATGGCACAAAAAGAAGCCTGCAAAAGATCGTGGATGCCAGAGAATTCTCGCAAGTCCTAACATTTCTGTTTTTCCTTTTGTAAATATGACCCAAGCCCACGGAAACAAGGTGATGGCAGCCCTTGGAGGTGATCAGAACTCTGTGACAATCCCTTCAGCCACCCAGGACTCAAGGGCAGAACCTCAGGACTCAGCTGAAAGAGGTTTTCACTCCAGCATTAAGCACAGAGCAATGAAAGTCCTGCGCTGGCTGGGGACAGGCAATGACGGGGACAAGACTAAATGATCTCCCCTCCCCTCATGGCGAGAGATGAGTAAATCACTCTTTACAGTGACAGGTGGGGAAACAACAGCAGAGACAGAGACGGAGAATCCTGACGCTGGCCAGGGAGGCGACTGGCCCTCCGCAGACCACCCGGGCACCTTCTGAATGGCCCCGAGAAGGGACAGTGGCCGTGGGGAGCAAGAAACTAAAGGGCAACAGGAGGCGAGGGAGAGGCCCGGAGGCTGGCTCCGGGGTCTGGCATCGGGCCAGAACTCGGCTCCCCTCACTCAGCTGAAGTCGGGGAGTCGTCCAGGGAGCTCGGGAAGGGCTATTTGCTCCAACTTTCACAACAACCGCATCCGGCCTGGTCTACCAACTGCTTGCGCTTCTAGGTGCCTATAAGTACAGCCCCATTACAGTTCCATTCGGCTAATAACTTAGAGTGTTGAAAATAACCAGGTAGGCGAACACCTCCTCATGGCTTAAATGCAAGGGCCTGAGCAGGACAGAAAAAAACAAGTCCTACCCGGCACCCTCTCAGGGACACTAATCACAAGAGAAGTGGCTGCTAGGATTTCATCCGGTAATTCTCTTATTGCTCGTCAATGACCAAAAAAAATGCCACATTTGCAGTGAGATCTGAATCACCCCAATCAAGGCTATTTTTAAAATTTCATTTAAAAAGTTNGAGTTAATCACAGACTTAACTAACTAGTTACCCAACTTGCAAACAAAGGCCTCCTGCCCGACAGCGGCTCCCGGGCAACCTGCTTCACTCTGNAAGTTAATCACAGACTTAACTAGTTACCCAACTTGCAAACAAAGGCCTCCTGCCCGACAGCGGCTCCCGGGCAACCTGCTTCACTCTGCGGAACTCGGAAGCGGAGCAAAGGTGAGTCCGCACGGCCAGAAACATCCGCGGGTTGGCACAGGCGGGCGGACACGTATGGGCTGGTTTCATCTGCCCGCAGCCTGCCAGGCTGAGCTGCGAGACTTGATGGGAAGAGGGGGGTCACTTCCCCAGCCCTGCACACTCACGCGCTTTCAGGAGGCTCAGCCCGTGAAAAGGGACAGATGAAAGCACGCAGCCTGCGCTGACGTGACATCTGGCCAGAGGGTCCCAGCAGAATGAATTTAATAAAAATGTGCTGTCACCCTGGCCGGTGTGGCTCAGTTGGTTGGGTGTCATCCCATGCACCGGAAGGTTGCTGGTTCGATTCCTGGTCAGGGCACATGCCCGGGTTGTGGGCGAAATGCCTGGCAGAGGGCGTGCAGGAGGTTTCACTCTCACATCAATATTTCTCTCTCTCCTTCTCCCTTCCTCTCTCTCTAAATATCAATAAAAATATTTTTTTAATTTTTTTTTAAATATATTTTTATTGATTTCAGAGAGGAAAGGAGAGGGAGAGGGAGAGCTAGAAACATCAATGATGAGTCATTGATCGACTGCCTCCTGCACGCCCCCAACTGGGGATCGAGCCCGCGACCCGGGCATGTGCCCTGACCGCGAATCGAACCCCGATCGCCTGGATCCTAGGTCGACGCTCAACCACTGGGCCACGCCCAGCCGGGACAATGAAAATATATTTTTTAAAAAGTGAAACCATCCATGGTGCCAATTATGTGCTTCTTAAAGGCAACTGCTACCGAATGAGTTAAAACGTGGCCTAGAAGGGAAGCGGGGCCCAGCGGGAAGTCTGGGAGTCCCTGGAGGGCTCAGCTGACCACCCTCTGCAGCCCCAATCACCCAGTCCCCTGGCTCACAGTGCCAAGTGAGGAGGCGAAGAGCAGATGCCAGCTGCCATGCCCCAGCCGGCCGGCAGTGGTAAGATGGCCCCAGCACTCCTGCGACAAGGCCATGGGGCCCCCACTGCAGGCTGAGGGGGCAAATTCCAGCCAACCTTTTATAAATATACATGTATATATTTTCTTATGAAATACGAAGGGGTCCTGACCTCCAGCCTCAGCACTGTGACATGCAGGGCACTTTGCCTCTTGGGTGCAGGGGTTGCCTTGAAATCTTGCCAGTGTGTGGCCCTTTGAGCCCCCTTGCCACCCAAGGGAGCCAGCGTGATGACTGAGTGAGGCAGTAGCACCCGATTTCCATCTGCTCCGGTCCCTGCGGACCTCCGGTTTGGGTCACCGCGCCGACCCTGGGGTCTGGCCGGCGTGAAGCCAGATGTTCCCAACCCCAGAAAAGGTGCCTGAGCCCACCGCGAGGGCCCAGCTCCTCCCCGCCCGCGGTCTGGGGGCGCCCTTATCTGTGAGGTATTCTTGTGTGTGGAAGACTGAAAGTGGAAGGAAACTTAAAAAAGGAAGAAAAAAAGAGCAGACAGAAGCGCTGTACCTTATACCGGTTTCTTCCAACGTGATGCCTGTGCCAAGAGCAGGGCAAGCGAGAAACCCGCGACATGACTGTAATAACTTATGCCCAGGCGCCCTCCACGCTGGCTCAGGCTCACACACACTCCTCGTTCACGAGGGGCTGCTCTCAGGGCGCGCGCGGACTACCCGGAGCCCATGTCACATGGGCTGAACAGGCACATGGGATCCTGAGACACGCCTCTGCGGAAGGGGGGGACCCCACGGTCACAGACCCTGGAGGGCGCGGGAGGGGAACCGGGCAGACAGGTGGGCAAAGCGGCCTGGCGCCCGCACCAAGTTCTTTGCCCCAGAGCACTTTGCCAGAACGGGGCAAACCTCTGCCAGCCCCCGGCTGCCCACAAGGGAGTGAAGATCTGGGGGACACACAATGCTGTCAGGGAACAGGGCACAGGGCACAGGAGGACGCCCTGCCTCACTTATTTTCAGCACTTGGCTCTGGTTTACAAAGAAAATGCTCCCTACGATACAGAGCACGTGTTAGGGCTTCCCTCTCATCAGAACACAATTAAAATTTGCAGCCCTTTCTACAGGAGAGCTGAAAATTGGGGGGGGGGGCCTTAAAACACACCCTGTATGTGTATGTGTGTGGTGGTGGTGTGCATGTGTATGTGTGTGTTCGTGTGTGTTTGTGTGTAGGAGGAGGTCAGGTGCATGCATTTTCCTGGAGGGAGGGAAAGGGTTGAATGGATCGGCAGCTGAAATCTCCCTCCCGAAGACATTATGAAACACACTCAGTGCAAACCTTCCCCTCAGAGGGGACAGAGGGTTCAGTGGCACTGATGCAATCTCCTGTCACAGGCACAAGCCTGCTGCAGAATCTTCCTGAGGAATCTGATGAGCGCCTGTCAGCAGAGAAAGGCCCTTGGAAAACACACACACCAGACAGGTAGGGCTGACCTCACCGGTGAAAGGAAAGGACGCTGCACGCAGGCACAGGCACTCACCGGCCATGCCCTCCTTTCCCCCACCCCAACTCCACCCAGGGGCCACTGGAATCAACAGGCAATTTGTCACTGTGCAGCCCTGGCCTCTCTTCCCTGCCCCAAGGTCTGTAAGAGGCTCTGGCTAGAAGTGGTGCTGGGGGAGGGCTGCGGGCGAGGGGCCTTTCTCCAGCCTCTTGACGTGGCAGGGCTGGCAAAACAGGTGGTCCTCCAGGGGGTAGCAGCGGCGGCCGTCCTCGTCATTGAGCTCCAGACCGCAGTCCTGGGTAAGGTAAAAATGTCCAGCGGTAGTAAGCCAAAGAACTGCAAGAGTGACGCAAAGGCCAGCATCCCTGAAACCAGGGGGGTGGTTCTCTAGGGGTGGAAAATGCAGAACACCCAGCCCCCCTTTCCTCTGGGAAGGTCTGGACTGACTGTCCCAAACCCAGGCCACCGGCCACATGTCACCATCGAGCACTTGAAATGGGGCTGGTTGGAAATGTGATATGATGTCAGTGTGAACACANGTGACTTGAAATGGGGCTGGTTGGAAATGTGATATGATGTCAGTGTGAACACACCAGATTTCCAAGACATAGAGGGGAAAAGTATGTAAAATAGCTCATGAAAAATGTTTTTATAGTGACTCCATGTTGAAATGCTAACATTCTGGATAGAATGGGTTGAATAAAATTTTATCACAAAAATGGATCCCACCTGTTTCTTAAATGCGGCCACTAAAAAACAAAATGGCACACAGGACCTGAATTTATGGCTCTCGAATTTCCATCGGAGGGCGCTGGCCTGGAATGTGTGGAGGGGATGGTGGAGAAGCGGCTTGTCTTTTCCCCCAGCGCCTGGGGCACCACCGACAATTCCCACCTGTGTCTTCAGCACTGGCCATGGGATGGAGCTGTCTGTCTCCACACCCCTTTCTCCCAACATCCCCCCCCAATCCCCCGCCCCCCGCATCACAAAATAAGCCTCATCTCCTTCCACTTAATTCTGGTTGAAAGGCCACCGGCTCTTAAAGCATTTTTGCCCTTCACAAGGGCCGGTGGGGGTGACCCCTGGCTGGCCTAACAGTCCCGGGCACCAGTGGCTCCTTCAGCCTGGGGGTGATCCAAGGACAGAGAGGGGGGCGCATGGCCCCCACCCACCTTCACACCGACCAGCCACGTCCCTGTTTCCAGGGTGGTGGGGGTTGGTGGAATTTCTTCATGATTTCCAGGGCTCAGCTGAGAAGGAAGCTCCTGGCAGATAGAAGAGCCTACGAGCCGGAGGGGAGGGAGTCTACTGCCCACATCCCACACCTGCCTGACAACGTGACCCCCAAACAGGACCTGAAACCCACACTCCCCACAACCCGCCCGCTCTGCAGCTGCAGGCAGCGCAGCCGCCATGGGCTCGGGCCTTGGCGGTTACAGATGTGGCGAAAATAGTAAAGACCATGCCCAGACATGTGCACCCTCTCCAACCTCTCCTACCCGGGCCCCACAAACCGGGCTCCAGCCCGTTTCCTCCATCAGCTCCAGACGGCAGCCCCCACCCGAACCTCAATGAGCGCCTCCTGCCACGGGCACCCGAGCTGCTTTCCTCTTGGAATGCCAAACAGGTTTGGGGGGGTCTGGGCAGGGAGGGACCCACCTCGCAGTGGTAACACTCCACGTGGTAGTCTCTGTCCATGGACACGACACGGATGGTTTCATCTGAGCCCTGGACCAAGAAAAAGCGAGAACAAGAAGCAGTTGGGGGGGCCCATTGGGCTCCACATGCCTTGGGGGGGTGCTTATAGGGGATTCTGAGTAACCAGCAGGCGGCCTTAGGAGAAGACACTAACACTGGTGGGAGAAAGGACACACTGGCCTACGGGATGAAATGGAGAGACCGGAGTCCTACCTTCTGGGATGTCGAAGTCAACACTGAAAAACCACCTACGTGCTTTTGCTCAGCTGCTCATCTCCTGGTCTAGGAGTCAGTGTTAAGTGAGAGAGTCTGCCCTGATTATAGGATCAAACAGGGCACAGGAGGGCAGTGGGCTGGGGACGCCAGCTAATGAGAAAGGGGCTTCTTGGTGAGGACACTAAGCACTGATCCTACGAATGACCCCAGGGAGATTCCTGTCGTGGGAGTCCCCGGGTCTGAAGGGGCATCTTACCTCAGGTGGGAGGATGGGAAGCCCACAGGCCGCACACTTGGGGGCCAGCACCCTGAGGGGAGAGCAGAGGAGCTGTGTTTCTGAAGGGCAAGGCCCAGCTCCCGGGAGACCCGCGCCTGGGCCTGCCCGAGCCTCCCTCCCCGGCCCAGGCCCGCCTCCTCCAGCCCTGTGTGGAGAGAGCCTGGCTCCCTTTCAGGGGCTCGCTCCCCAGGGGTAACAAGCACGTCTGGCCCCCCTCACTCCCCTCAGGATAGAGACAGACTTTTCTCCCCTCCTGGGGCCTGGGACAGGCCCAGCACACGCACACCCGGGGGTGGGGGCCAGCTGCAGTCAGGCAGAGCGGGAGCCGCAGGGCCCAGTGGATGGATCTGTGTGCTTTTCTCAACAGACATAATTCTTGAATCAGCTCCTGTCTGCACAGACACCGCTGAGCTCCCGAGGCCCCCGCTGCACCCTTCAAGCCATTCAGCCTTTGCCCGACTGTGGGCTAAGGGGACGAGCTGCCGGCAGACACGCCTCGGCAGGTGTCCGTCGGTCACTCTGCTGAGTGTCACCGGCGTGGCCCACACGGCGGCTCCCGGCCCCCTTACTTGTGGTAATCTCGGACACAGTAGATCTTGTTCTCCGAGTCCACGGTGAAGGGCACCCCATCCAAGCACTCGTTACAGATGACACAGCGGAAACAGCCCGGGTGGTAGGACTTCCCCAGGGCCTGCAGGATCTGGGGACACAGAGGGCAAGGCTGGGACTCAGCGGGATGGGGGGAGGAAAGGACGGTTGAAGGGAGAACGTCGGGCGGAGGGACTGTGAACAACCACGCGAGGCACACTCACCCGGAGTTTCCCTTGGACCAAGGTCAAGAGGTGACCGGGCGGGAAAGCTAATCCTGTCACAGGTATAAACAGGAGGGGGCCGCCTCCAGATTCATAAAAACTCCAGCAGGGAATTTAAATGGCTCCCTACCCGAGAGCGTGAGGGCTGTGTGCAGGAAATGATGCACAGCAGGCCACGGAAGGCTCCATCCCGGATCTGGGAAGCAGCGAGTACACGGACAGGGGAAAGGAAATCCCCGTGAACACGCAGAGCTCGAGAAAACCTCTTAACTCCTCGTAAGCGGCTTTGACCCTGCACGATAAGCCGGGACTCAGCCCCTGATGATCCCAAATCCAAGAGCAAGCAAAGCCTCTGTGTCGTTGTTTTTAAACACAGTGAAAAGAAAGCCCCACAGACCCTCTCTTCCTGTCAGTATCACTGATCTGGATGTGACACCTGGAACTGTGAAAGGCCACCCTGAAACCAGGACAGAGCTGGGACACGAGGGGAGGGGAGGGGAGAGAAGAGCCGGAAAGAACATCCTTGGTGACGTCAGCGAGTACCCAAATTCACCCGCCATGGACCTGCCACCTCCAAATCTCTTGTTCAGTGAGATAACGCATCTTTCCTATGAAGTCAGTGGTTCTCAAACTAGGATCCCTGGACCAGCAGAAAGGAGAATTTATGTCCATCAAAGACCTGCCATCACAGCAGCTTTATTCATAAGTAGCCCAAACTGGAAACCACCCAATCCCACCAGCAGGAAAATGGACAAATAAACCGCTATATCCGCACAATGGACTTCTACTTAGCAGTGAAAATAAACGGCCAACACAGGTAACAACGCGAATGAATCTCAAAAACATTTTTCTAAGTGAGAAAAGGCAGCCCCAAAGGATTCCAGTTATACAACGTTCCAGGACCAGCGAAACGAATCTGGGGTGAGATGTCAGGACAGTGGGTACATTTGTGGGATGGGGGTCTCGACGGGGAGGAGGTCAGCGAGGAACTTTCTAGGGCGCGGAATGTGGGATATGATCTACATCCCAATCTGGGTGCTGCTTACATGGGTATCTGCGAGTGTAAAAACTCATTCAGTGGCACACATAAGATGTGTGCCCCTTACTCCATGAGTTATTTCTCAATAAAAATGTAAAAAGAGAAAGTAGCAACATTAAGCAATTCCCTTCTCCTGAAAGGGATTAATGGATCCGCTTAAAAAAGTATTTAGCTCTTCCAAACTAAAAAAAAAATTACGCAGTCATTTTCTCTGACCAGTATGTTAAAGGAATCCTCCAGGCCGCTCTCCAGGGGTGAATACTTGACCCTGAGGCAGAATGAGAACCCGTATTCCTTAAGCCGGCTGCCTTACCCTCTAAGGAGACCAGGAAGGAGAGCCCGACCCCACTGCCGAGATAACGACACCGACGCCCACGGCAAGCTCGGAGAGCCGGCGGCTCAGCAAACACAGGCTGCGGAGAACTCGCCCCTTGTTCCGCTGGCTCAAAAACTCATCTCAGGGACAGACCGAGCCGGGCGGGACACGGGGGGAGACACGGAGCTTATCTGCGCCTGACTCCTAGGTGGCTGAGAATGCTGCAGTGAAAGCAGGCTCCATGCGGCACCTCGGCTGCGAGGCTGCAGGGATCACAGAACATCAGAGGGGGCCAGGCTGTGGACAGCCCGGAGCAGAGAGGGTCAGCGGAAACACAGCCCTGCGCGGACTGGAGGGCTGAGGGCGCGGGTACCCGGACAGGCCGACGTGGGCTCTACTGCAGCAAGCAAGGTGCGCCGCGTGGGCTCTGCTCCCAATAAAACCTGCTGCGGCCAAGTCGGGCTAGGAAACACTGTCCCTTCTCTTTTCCCTGAATGCCTCCCCTCCCCCCGTGCTCTTATCTTGCTCGGCTGACCCCACTCACCATGTCCATGATCAGATGGCCACAGAGAAAACATCTGTCGGCAGACTGCTGGAAACCAGAGTACTGCAGAGGAGAGGAAAGAGAGTTAACCCCAGGCAGGGCGAGGAACCCCGCCACCACCCCGCCAGGCACGAGGATAACGGAGGTTCTCGGAAAGCTGCGTCACTGCAAGCTAAGGCAGGAAGGGGAGGCTGGCGGCACGCAGGGGGCTCCTCTGTGCAAGCTTTGAACCTGCGGGTGCAGGGCCAGCAGGCCAGGTGGGCAAGCAGACAGTGTGGAGGCGGCCACCAGGCCAGCGGGCTGGGCCACACCGGCATGGCCAGCTAAGCAGGCCCAGGCAGGGTGCGGTGGCTCGAGGCTCACTGCTCGGCCGCATCCTGGGACAGACGGGAAGGAGGAGGGGACAAGAAGGAACCTAGGACACAGTTTTCCCAGATGAGGGCCCAGGGCAAGGCGACATTCCTGCCCAGGCAAGTGGAGTGGGAGGAGCTGGGGACAGCCCGGGGACTGCCCTGTGGGCAGTGAGGTGTCAGCAGCCGGCCTCAGAGGAGCTGGCAGGGCTGGAGCTCAAATCTGGGGGCCACTGGCACATGGATGGAGTGTCCGTGCAGGGGAGAGGCCGGATGCCCGGAGAGCCGGCGGGACGAGAGGGAAGGCCTGGATCCCAGACCGAAGGATTTTGGGGGGTGAGGGGTGGAGCAGGAAGAAATGGGCGAAGCAACAAGAGGACAGGCCAAGGGACCCTCAAATCCCTTCAAAGCACAAAGCTCTGCGGTTTGTCCTTTGGCTCGTGAACATGGGCCACCCCACGCATCTCCAGAAGGGAAGTCAGGACGCCTTTCTCGGGCTGTGCGGCTTCCCACCCGCGCTGGTGGAAAGCACCCTCTGCCCCCGCTGGGCCCCTCCGTGCGCCGCCCCCCGATTCCAGCCGGGACCGCGGGGACGGGAGGCTTGGGTGACACGCTCACCAGGAAGTCTTCCTCGCAAAACACTTTGCCGTTGACAAAATAAAAGGCTTTTCCTCTCAGCTTCCGGCCTACAGGGAAAACACAAGGGCAGGGTAAAGAGAAAATGTTACCATGCGGCGAACAAACAGAAAAGAAAGGCGAACATCTCTTTACACGGAAAGAAACACGGAAAAAATGCCAGCTGTCGACATGCTTCTGGTTCCCAAAAGCTGCCGGTGGCCCCCGGCGGGGGACAGGCCGAGGCCCGAAGGCGGCCCCCCGGGAGGCGCTGCAGGCGGGACACCCGAGGGCTGGCTCGAGGACCATCCCACTGAGAAGGTGGCGAGACGTTTGGTGGCAGGATGGCAGAGGCACACACAAGGGCGGGTCCCGGGCAACAGTCTCTTTCGAAGCTGTTTCCCGCGGGTGTTGGGGACCATGACCTCTGACATGTTCTCCAGGGGATGCTGGTGACAACCTATCAGGAAAGTCCTCTAAATTGGTCAACTCTTACCTTCCGATATTTTTTGCATCTGAACTACACAAAGCACACATTGTCCCTCCCTCAAAGTTAGTTCCCTCGCTTGCAGAAGGCTCTAGAACCTTCACCAGTATCTCCTGACTCCGCTAAGCTAGGGTAACAAGATGAGTGCTTACAACTAAGTGACGCTGGTTCTCTAACATCAGCTTAATGTCGGTTTAATTCCTTGACCTCATTCTAGGATTTCCCGCCGGGGTGGTGAGAAAGGAGGTGAGTCTGCAGCTGCCTGGGAGGCCGCTAGAGGAAGCCAGGAGGCCGCTAAAAACCACACAGGACTTCCCAGAGGTGAGGCTTCTGACCCGACGGGCAAAACACCAGCCCTGGGTGCTGGAAGGGGCCGCGGAAGATCGAAGGCATCTGAGCTTGCAATTATTTTTGGTTTTGGTTTAAGAGAGGGAAGATGAACTCTGTTCCAAAAATCGAGGAAGATCGTTACACATTCCAGTGCACAGAACCTCTTGTGTTTAAAGAAACACAAATTAAACAAGAGCTTTTTCACTTACGATATCAACAAAGATTTTTTTTTTTTTAAGTGATCACAGTCATTGTGATTGTTGCCATGGCATATTTCTGTACTTACTGATGAGAGTGTAAAAACGATAAACTCTGTTTGGAAAGGAAACTTTAAAATGTTTATCTCTGACTCAGTGGGGCAGTCTGGGACTTCGCTGAGGGAAGGAATCTGAAATGGGAATAAATATTTACTTAGATCTAAACTGGCAGCCTTAGAGAATGGCTACATAAAACAGAGTGCATCTAAATGCAAAAATATTATGTGGCCGCTTAAAATACCATTCAAGTAAGTGTTTTAGCGACACTGGAGAATGTTTATGCTATAGGGAGATATTCAAAATACATCTGTAAGTGAAAAAAGCAAGCTGGACGAATGTCTTTAGTACAATTCCATTTCAGTGACTTACACACACACAGCCCACTGATGCAAAAGAAAAACCTGGAAGATTGCACACGAAGACTAACAGCGGTTGCTACTGATAGATAGCATTACAGGGAACTTCCACTTTCAATTTTATAAATTTTTAAAAAACATATATGGTATTATGTAGCACTGGTAGGTTGTATTAAAGGGAAGTTTCACTTACTACTTTACACCTTTCAATATTTGGAATTTTTTTTGTAGTATTAGGTACACGGGCAGATGGTATGAGAGAGAAATTTCACTTTTTGCTTCACACGTTTCTAGATGAAATTTTCCTCGAACTATGTATTTATAACCTCAAAAGTACTTTCTTAATTAAAAAAAACCCTTATGTCATAATATGAAAAAGTGAAAAAGATCCAAAAATTGTGTATTTCAACCAAAGAAGAAACTCAAAGATGAAAGACTGGAAAAGAAATCTGCCCACACGTGACGGTGCCTCTGTGTGGACACATAAGACGTCTGCATCAAAAGGGGGGAAGCATGGCAGGGGTTGCGGGGTGTTCACCGTTTGCTTCCTTTTACTTTCCTACACCTCCCCGAATTTTAAATAGCAAGCAGGTATTACTTTGATCATTTAAAAACTGCCCAGCTGGCTAGACAAACCCTCTTGCCACCAGTGCCCAGAGCTGAGAAGTCCCATGTGCAGGGGCCAGGGAAGGGGCTCAGGGGCTGATTCCGCTTTTCCTTTACCCAAAAAAATAATAATAATAATAATTGAGGACTCCCCCAGAGACCTGGGCGCGGGCTGCTCCGGAGGCCTCAAACTCCAGTTTTCACTTCGGTTTCAAGAGACCGTCTAGGTTTCGGCACCAAATTCCACATCCAAATTTTTCAGTTTGTATTTTGTCAGTGGGAGAGAAAAGCTAACATCTGTTGGTTGCCTTCTATGTTCCAAGAACTTTCATGTATTAAAAANGATCCTACGAATGACCCCAGGGAGATTCCTGTCGTGGGAGTCCCCGGGTCTGAAGGGGCATCTTACCTCAGGTGGGAGGATGGGAAGCCCACAGGCCGCACACTTGGGGGCCAGCACCCTGAGGGGAGAGCAGAGGAGCTGTGTTTCTGAAGGGCAAGGCCCAGCTCCCGGGAGACCCGCGCCTGGGCCTGCCCGAGCCTCCCTCCCCGGCCCAGGCCCGCCTCCTCCAGCCCTGTGTGGAGAGAGCCTGGCTCCCTTTCAGGGGCTCGCTCCCCAGGGGTAACAAGCACGTCTGGCCCCCCTCACTCCCCTCAGGATAGAGACAGACTTTTCTCCCCTCCTGGGGCCTGGGACAGGCCCAGCACACGCACACCCGGGGGTGGGGGCCAGCTGCAGTCAGGCAGAGCGGGAGCCGCAGGGCCCAGTGGATGGATCTGCGTGCTTTTCTCAACAGACATAATTCTTGAATCAGCTCCTGTCTGCACAGACACCGCTGAGCTCCCGAGGCCCCCGCTGCACCCTTCAAGCCATTCAGCCTTTGCCCGACTGTGGGCTAAGGGGACGAGCTGCCGGCAGACACGCCTCGGCAGGTGTCCGTCGGTCACTCTGCTGAGTGTCACCGGCGTGGCCCACACGGCGGCTCCCGGCCCCCTTACTTGTGGTAATCTCGGACACAGTAGATCTTGTTCTCCGAGTCCACGGTGAAGGGCACCCCATCCAAGCACTCGTTACAGATGACACAGCGGAAACAGCCCGGGTGGTAGGACTTCCCCAGGGCCTGCAGGATCTGGGGACACAGAGGGCAAGGCTGGGACTCAGCGGGATGGGGGGAGGAAAGGACGGTTGAAGGGAGAACGTCGGGCGGAGGGACTGTGAACAACCACGCGAGGCACACTCACCCGGAGTTTCCCTTGGACCAAGGTCAAGAGGTGACCGGGCGGGAAAGCTAATCCTGTCACAGGTATAAACAGGAGGGGGCCGCCTCCAGATTCATAAAAACTCCAGCAGGGAATTTAAATGGCTCCCTACCCGAGAGCGTGAGGGCTGTGTGCAGGAAATGATGCACAGCAGGCCACGGAAGGCTCCATCCCGGATCTGGGAAGCAGCGAGTACACGGACAGGGGAAAGGAAATCCCCGTGAACACGCAGAGCTCGAGAAAACCTCTTAACTCCTCGTAAGCGGCTTTGACCCTGCACGATAAGCCGGGACTCAGCCCCTGATGATCCCAAATCCAAGAGCAAGCAAAGCCTCTGTGTCGTTGTTTTTAAACACAGTGAAAAGAAAGCCCCACAGACCCTCTCTTCCTGTCAGTATCACTGATCTGGATGTGACACCTGGAACTGTGAAAGGCCACCCTGAAACCAGGACAGAGCTGGGACACGAGGGGAGGGGAGGGGAGAGAAGAGCCGGAAAGAACATCCTTGGTGACGTCAGCGAGTACCCAAATTCACCCGCCATGGACCTGCCACCTCCAAATCTCTTGTTCAGTGAGATAACGCATCTTTCCTATGAAGTCAGTGGTTCTCAAACTAGGATCCCTGGACCAGCAGAAAGGAGAATTTATGTCCATCAAAGACCTGCCATCACAGCAGCTTTATTCATAAGTAGCCCAAACTGGAAACCACCCAATCCCACCAGCAGGAAAATGGACAAATAAACCGCTATATCCGCACAATGGACTTCTACTTAGCAGTGAAAATAAACGGCCAACACAGGTAACAACGCGAATGAATCTCAAAAACATTTTTCTAAGTGAGAAAAGGCAGCCCCAAAGGATTCCAGTTATACAACGTTCCAGGACCAGCGAAACGAATCTGGGGTGAGATGTCAGGACAGTGGGTACATTTGTGGGATGGGGGTCTCGACGGGGAGGAGGTCAGCGAGGAACTTTCTAGGGCGCGGAATGTGGGATATGATCTACATCCCAATCTGGGTGCTGCTTACATGGGTATCTGCGAGTGTAAAAACTCATTCAGTGGCACACATAAGATGTGTGCCCCTTACTCCATGAGTTATTTCTCAATAAAAATGTAAAAAGAGAAAGTAGCAACATTAAGCAATTCCCTTCTCCTGAAAGGGATTAATGGATCCGCTTAAAAAAGTATTTAGCTCTTCCAAACTAAAAAAAAAATTACGCAGTCATTTTCTCTGACCAGTATGTTAAAGGAATCCTCCAGGCCGCTCTCCAGGGGTGAATACTTGACCCTGAGGCAGAATGAGAACCCGTATTCCTTAAGCCGGCTGCCTTACCCTCTAAGGAGACCAGGAAGGAGAGCCCGACCCCACTGCCGAGATAACGACACCGACGCCCACGGCAAGCTCGGAGAGCCGGCGGCTCAGCAAACACAGGCTGCGGAGAACTCGCCCCTTGTTCCGCTGGCTCAAAAACTCATCTCAGGGACAGACCGAGCCGGGCGGGACACGGGGGAGACACGGAGCTTATCTGCGCCTGACTCCTAGGTGGCTGAGAATGCTGCAGTGAAAGCAGGCTCCATGCGGCACCTCGGCTGCGAGGCTGCAGGGATCACAGAACATCAGAGGGGGCCAGGCTGTGGACAGCCCGGAGCAGAGAGGGTCAGCGGAAACACAGCCCTGCGCGGACTGGAGGGCTGAGGGCGCGGGTACCCGGACAGGCCGACGTGGGCTCTACTGCAGCAAGCAAGGTGCGCCGCGTGGGCTCTGCTCCCAATAAAACCTGCTGCGGCCAAGTCGGGCTAGGAAACACTGTCCCTTCTCTTTTCCCTGAATGCCTCCCCTCCCCCCGTGCTCTTATCTTGCTCGGCTGACCCCACTCACCATGTCCATGATCAGATGGCCACAGAGAAAACATCTGTCGGCAGACTGCTGGAAACCAGAGTACTGCAGAGGAGAGGAAAGAGAGTTAACCCCAGGCAGGGCGAGGAACCCCGCCACCACCCCGCCAGGCACGAGGATAACGGAGGTTCTCGGAAAGCTGCGTCACTGCAAGCTAAGGCAGGAAGGGGAGGCTGGCGGCACGCAGGGGGCTCCTCTGTGCAAGCTTTGAACCTGCGGGTGCAGGGCCAGCAGGCCAGGTGGGCAAGCAGACAGTGTGGAGGCGGCCACCAGGCCAGCGGGCTGGGCCACACCGGCATGGCCAGCTAAGCAGGCCCAGGCAGGGTGCGGTGGCTCGAGGCTCACTGCTCGGCCGCATCCTGGGACAGACGGGAAGGAGGAGGGGACAAGAAGGAACCTAGGACACAGTTTTCCCAGATGAGGGCCCAGGGCAAGGCGACATTCCTGCCCAGGCAAGTGGAGTGGGAGGAGCTGGGGACAGCCCGGGGACTGCCCTGTGGGCAGTGAGGTGTCAGCAGCCGGCCTCAGAGGAGCTGGCAGGGCTGGAGCTCAAATCTGGGGGCCACTGGCACATGGATGGAGTGTCCGTGCAGGGGAGAGGCCGGATGCCCGGAGAGCCGGCGGGACGAGAGGGAAGGCCTGGATCCCAGACCGAAGGATTTTGGGGGGTGAGGGGTGGAGCAGGAAGAAATGGGCGAAGCAACAAGAGGACAGGCCCTCAAATCCCTTCAAAGCACAAAGCTCTGCGGTTTGTCCTTTGGCTCGTGAACATGGGCCACCCCACGCATCTCCAGAAGGGAAGTCAGGACGCCTTTCTCGGGCTGTGCGGCTTCCCACCCGCGCTGGTGGAAAGCACCCTCTGCCCCCGCTGGGCCCCTCCGTGCGCCGCCCCCCGATTCCAGCCGGGACCGCGGGGACGGGAGGCTTGGGTGACACGCTCACCAGGAAGTCTTCCTCGCAAAACACTTTGCCGTTGACAAAATAAAAGGCTTTTCCTCTCAGCTTCCGGCCTACAGGGAAAACACAAGGGCAGGGTAAAGAGAAAATGTTACCATGCGGCGAACAAACAGAAAAGAAAGGCGAACATCTCTTTACACGGAAAGAAACACGGAAAAAATGCCAGCTGTCGACATGCTTCTGGTTCCCAAAAGCTGCCGGTGGCCCCCGGCGGGGGACAGGCCGAGGCCCGAAGGCGGCCCCCCGGGAGGCGCTGCAGGCGGGACACCCGAGGGCTGGCTCGAGGACCATCCCACTGAGAAGGTGGCGAGACGTTTGGTGGCAGGATGGCAGAGGCACACACAAGGGCGGGTCCCGGGCAACAGTCTCTTTCGAAGCTGTTTCCCGCGGGTGTTGGGGACCATGACCTCTGACATGTTCTCCAGGGGATGCTGGTGACAACCTATCAGGAAAGTCCTCTAAATTGGTCAACTCTTACCTTCCGATATTTTTTGCATCTGAACTACACAAAGCACACATTGTCCCTCCCTCAAAGTTAGTTCCCTCGCTTGCAGAAGGCTCTAGAACCTTCACCAGTATCTCCTGACTCCGCTAAGCTAGGGTAACAAGATGAGTGCTTACAACTAAGTGACGCTGGTTCTCTAACATCAGCTTAATGTCGGTTTAATTCCTTGACCTCATTCTAGGATTTCCCGCCGGGGTGGTGAGAAAGGAGGTGAGTCTGCAGCTGCCTGGGAGGCCGCTAGAGGAAGCCAGGAGGCCGCTAAAAACCACACAGGACTTCCCAGAGGTGAGGCTTCTGACCCGACGGGCAAAACACCAGCCCTGGGTGCTGGAAGGGGCCGCGGAAGATCGAAGGCATCTGAGCTTGCAATTATTTTTGGTTTTGGTTTAAGAGAGGGAAGATGAACTCTGTTCCAAAAATCGAGGAAGATCGTTACACATTCCAGTGCACAGAACCTCTTGTGTTTAAAGAAACACAAATTAAACAAGAGCTTTTTCACTTACGATATCAACAAAGATTTTTTTTTTTTTAAGTGATCACAGTCATTGTGATTGTTGCCATGGCATATTTCTGTACTTACTGATGAGAGTGTAAAAACGATAAACTCTGTTTGGAAAGGAAACTTTAAAATGTTTATCTCTGACTCAGTGGGGCAGTCTGGGACTTCGCTGAGGGAAGGAATCTGAAATGGGAATAAATATTTACTTAGATCTAAACTGGCAGCCTTAGAGAATGGCTACATAAAACAGAGTGCATCTAAATGCAAAAATATTATGTGGCCGCTTAAAATACCATTCAAGTAAGTGTTTTAGCGACACTGGAGAATGTTTATGCTATAGGGAGATATTCAAAATACATCTGTAAGTGAAAAAAGCAAGCTGGACGAATGTCTTTAGTACAATTCCATTTCAGTGACTTACACACACACAGCCCACTGATGCAAAAGAAAAACCTGGAAGATTGCACACGAAGACTAACAGCGGTTGCTACTGATAGATAGCATTACAGGGAACTTCCACTTTCAATTTTATAAATTTTTAAAAAACATATATGGTATTATGTAGCACTGGTAGGTTGTATTAAAGGGAAGTTTCACTTACTACTTTACACCTTTCAATATTTGGAATTTTTTTTGTAGTATTAGGTACACGGGCAGATGGTATGAGAGAGAAATTTCACTTTTTGCTTCACACGTTTCTAGATGAAATTTTCCTCGAACTATGTATTTATAACCTCAAAAGTACTTTCTTAATTAAAAAAAACCCTTATGTCATAATATGAAAAAGTGAAAAAGATCCAAAAATTGTGTATTTCAACCAAAGAAGAAACTCAAAGATGAAAGACTGGAAAAGAAATCTGCCCACACGTGACGGTGCCTCTGTGTGGACACATAAGACGTCTGCATCAAAAGGGGGGAAGCATGGCAGGGGTTGCGGGGTGTTCACCGTTTGCTTCCTTTTACTTTCCTACACCTCCCCGAATTTTAAATAGCAAGCAGGTATTACTTTGATCATTTAAAAACTGCCCAGCTGGCTAGACAAACCCTCTTGCCACCAGTGCCCAGAGCTGAGAAGTCCCGTGTGCAGGGGCCAGGGAAGGGGCTCAGGGGCTGATTCCGCTTTTCCTTTACCCAAAAAAATAATAATAATAATAATTGAGGACTCCCCCAGAGACCTGGGCGCGGGCTGCTCCGGAGGCCTCAAACTCCAGTTTTCACTTCGGTTTCAAGAGACCGTCTAGGTTTCGGCACCAAATTCCACATCCAAATTTTTCAGTTTGTATTTTGTCAGTGGGAGAGAAAAGCTAACATCTGTTGGTTGCCTTCTATGTTTCAAGAACTTTCATGTATTAAAAAGGTTTTTAAAACCTTTAAAAACACTGTCCCAGGTCCCTGCATCATTAGTGCCCGGGTCTGTCCCTGTCCCGCCACGTGCCTCTTATGGAGAAGTCCACACACTGCCCCGTCACCTCCTCAGGGGTTCGGCGCGATGGGGAGGGCTCACCAGAGAATGGGGTGCAAGCACACCCGCCCCCGTCAATATCACGGAGCAGCGCAGGAGCCGGGAACCGAAATGACACCCCGGGATTGCACCCAACTCTGGGTTTCCTTTCCTCGCAAGAACACGATGCCCATGAGTCCAACGTTACTCCCCATCTGCGTCTGGCACATTCTGAGGCTCAGGGAGCTCGGCAGGTAGTGAGTGGGCAGGGCGGGCGGGTTCG